ACAGGCTCTGCAACTTCTGATGCATCTCTCTATAGTAGTGGTTAGGAACGAACCACTTCCTCATCAACACCTTCAACTCCTCCCAAGTACTAATTGGTCTTCCCCCACACCATCGCCGTATAGTAACCACTTGATCCCACCAGGTTATTGCGTAATCAATGAACTCTAACACCGCTAGCTTCACCTTTTTCTCCTCCAAATAATTATAGCACTCAAAAATTAACTCCACCTTTATTTCCCACTCCAAGTACACCTCTGGGTCACTCATTCCCTTAAATTGTGGAATGGACATTTTGATATTGCCCATGTTCCCATCTGCCTCATCTTCGTGATTATTCCTAACCCGTCGTTCAGGCCTACTACCTCTATTCTTCATCCATCCTATTCACACTTCTCCATACCCTCATCATCCCATTCACTGCCCAGATCAATTGCTTCCCGTTCCATCCGAAGCTCTCGTCTACCGGCCTCTTGGCATTAGATACCTCCGCCCGCGGCTCCCTACTAAGATTAGCCACCTATGTATCCATCCTCATCATCCAAGCTTCCTGCTTAGCCCTCCAAGCATCCTGTTGATCCAGCCTATCTCTAAAAACCCCAAAAGCAAGTTCAAACTGATATATCAAATCCTCCGATATGCTGTTATGATAGCCGTGTCGGCTTGAGTTGGAACATTCTTATTCATACATTTTCTCAATTTCTGCCTTACCAAATTTCACTTGGAATCACACAATTGGCTTTTACCCTCTAATAAGTTCACCACTCTGCCTTTTACCACTCAATGCTTCCACCAATTGCTTCCAAGAACAATAATGAACTCACCGGATTAAAACTTGTGGATTCAACCCGATACATAAGTCAAGAGAATAATTTGCAAGGGATTGAAAACAAATGGAATGAAACTTGAATGGACTCAATAAAATTTCAACGGAATAATTGACGAAATTAAAGAATTGAAAGAGAACTTTGAAATTTAGGAATTTGAATATGAACTTGTTGGTAGCAAATCAAGCAAATAATAAAAAAATAATATTTTTTTTTACATAAACAGTAACATTTTTTTTATCAGGATGTACAGTAACCTTTTTTTTTTTTTTTACTAACACAAGAGATTATACTACCAACGAAAAATATGAATTGAATGAATAAATTGAAGAACGACTCAAGAACAAGGAAGGAAATTGGAAATCAAAGAAAACTACGAATTAACAAGAAAATTAAAAATAGAACTTGATTAAATTGGAACCAAAGCTCTAATAGCAATTGATGCGAACCCCGTAGCAACTTAGACTACGAAACACACAACTAGATTGATGTGGAACCCAAGAACGTCAATTGATAACCAGTTTGGAATGAACCCAACAAGATGAAACAAAGAATCCAAAGATAACGGTGATGCAATGGATCATTTGCATACAAATTGAAGAACCCACGATCCGGTGTTAAACTCCACAAGGAATTATCCTTGATAAGTTCTAAATTATTGTTCAAAGAAGAACAAATTGGAAGAAAGTAAAAGTCTCTCTTAAATTCAATAATAATAGCCAAAAGTCCCTACACAATGTAATGGAAAGAGTATTTATACTAAAGCTAAAATCCTAGCTAAAATCGTATAAAATCATCAAAATATGGAAAGAAGTCTAATTGATATCAAATTCTAACAAAATAAGGAAATTCGCGAAAAATTAAACGTGTCAAATTTTAAAATCATTCAGCCGCATGGTTGTTTTTCCATGCAATTGCATGGTAGACCCAAAAATCCCCAGCGAATTACCTGACTATGGTTGTGCGACCGCAAGCCATTAAAGGGGTGCGGTCGCATGGTTTTGCGGTTCAGCCTCTTTTTTGGCCGAATTTCGACCCGAACATGAAATTTGTCCCATTTTGAATCTCGAACATCGTCCCATCAATGGTTTCTTGAACGAGCAATTCCATCACTTGTTTCACTTGCTTTTCCCTTGATAGCATCATCGGTCCGCCTTTGATTATCAACGAGTCTCGTCCCGCACTAGCCTTCATCTGGCTCGGCTCTTGGATCACATCACCCATGCTCGATTAAGGCGAGAGCAAGATTGGTCTCCCACCCCTTTTAACTGCCCTATTTATTTATTTTTATTTTTTTCTTTTATTTTTATCATATTTTTAATTAGTGAAAATCATTATTATTATTTTTTTATTTGTTAAGAAGAACTCACATTCTCTTTAAAAATGACGATTCTTTACTTTTTGTTCGATAAAAAATTTTAATTCGAAATGACATTTAAACGAGACAAGTAGCGAGACGAGGATCATGCATCATTGCCCCATCCCCACCTTAGGCCCCACCCCATTTACGGTTAGGCAGGTAATCTGCATCCCATTCAGGATGGGGCTATGAAGGTATCAGGTTTAACATGTATTTTTGGAGTGAATTATTAAAATGGTCACTGAACTTTGTAAAAGGGTTCTACGGGGTTACTAAAGTTTAAAAATCACCCAATCCATCACTGAACTTTGCTAAAGGTTTAGACCCCGTGGAAACCGTTTGCAAAATTCAGTGATGAATTGAATGATTTTCAAAGTTCAGTGAGCCCGTGGAAACCTTTTGCAAAGTTCAATGATGAATGAGTGATTTTTATAGTTCAGTGACCTGATCGAACCTTTTGCAAAGTTCAGTGATAAATTGGGTGATTTTTAAAACTCAATGACCCCGTAGAATCCTTTTACAAAGTTCAGTGATCATTTGAGTAATTCACTCTGTATTTTTGTTGTTCCTAGCTAGTGCAAATATTAGTAGGTAAAAGTCAAATTTATCTCTTTAATAGACATTTTTTAGGTTGGTTAAGAATATTTATTATACTGTTAGTGTCAAATATTAGGCAGCAGTCAACTTTTATTCCTCTAATGAATGCATTAGTGTGTTAGTTAAGAATATTTATTTGTGTTAGAAGTTAACTAGGTTGCTATATGTAGCGAGCACCTTAGCTAGCAGACATGACATACTTTTTGCTTTTTTAATTGTTCCGAATTTCCAATCTCATATATAACCATTATTTCATTTATTAAAAAAAAATCATTTTATTAAAGAAAATGACTATTACACGATCATTAATAATTGTCATTTGATTCTTTTTTTTTTTTTCCTCTTGTCCCAATATTACCACATTTATCACAAAATAAATAAATAAAATAATAATAATAAATTTACATTTCATTTTAAGGAATTGACTGTTGCACATTCATTCAATTGTATTTTCTTTTTCTTTTTCTTTTTCTTTTATCTCAAAAAAATAATCATTCTAGTTTCACTTTATTCAATAACATGACCTATGCACGATCATTTAATTGTGTAAATATAACTCTATAAATTATAATTTTCAATCCAAACTCTTAACATTCTTATTACAACAATATAATTTCTTCTAATTTTGTGAAAATATTCCTTTAGTTAAAGGAGTTTTAGAGGAATTTGAACCAACGTGACTTTTTCTAAAAGTACTATTGGAATATGAAGCATTTTTAAGAATTGGTTTCTAAACAAAATTTAAGGTAGCTTCTTCCAACAGTTATTCTACCAAAAAAAAAATGTAAAAACAAAAGTCATGTCAAACAAGCCCTAAAAGTAATCGAAGTACTTATATATTGATCTATATTCTCATCTTTATAGAGTAGGACGATGTCGAGATTATTTTGCTGAAATGATCTTGTGCACAATAAATTGCGTATGGTGGCCCATAGCATTAGACTCAATTGCAAACTAATCCATAATATTTTTCAACATTTAACTCCTTGAGCTTTCATTTTAATAATGTTGAAGCTAGTATGGGAAAGGTTATTTTCTCAAGTTAAAATTTGGATGGTTTCATGAAAGTAAACTTAAAAAGGAATGTTGAGGAGTTAAATGTCAAAACAAAATATAAGTTCGGTTTCTATTTCTTCTCGTGTCTCATCGAAGAAGTCGATAAAGTCTTCTTGAGGATTGTTGTAGGTCTTTTTAAGGACCTATGTGTGATATATCCCAAATATTGAGGAGTTCTCATGAAATTTACTCTAAGGGTGTATTTGATTGCAAGCATGAAAATAAAATAAGTTCCAAGCAAATATTTGCATGAAAATTATCAATTAAATGTGTTTAATTAATTTAATTTTCAACCTATAAAATGTTACATTGTCCATTTTTATTGGTTGGTGAATAAGAGAGGGGATAGATGAAAGAGAAAGAGATAATGAATTACCTGAAAATAACCTACTCCCCCTAAAGAAAATATTTTTCTTATTTTCGAGGAAAATATAATCACATGATCAAGAGTAAGAAAATTTTTTCCATGAAAAAAATATCAATCAAACATTATAATAGTAGGAATTTGGATTAAAAAAAAAAGATTACATTTTTCATGGAAAATATTGGCATGTGTGCGTTTGATTGCGAGTATGGAATTTACATAGAAAGAAAATAAAAATTGCATAGAAGTTATTTGTTCGAAAATAGTTACTTAAACGTGTTTCATTGATTTAGTTTTCAATTTAGAAAATATTATATTTGTCCATTTTTTATTAGTGGGTAAATAAGAGAGAATTAATAGATAAGATAGAGTGAATCCTTGAAAAATAAAATCCTACTCCCCCAAAGAAAATATTTTCCTTGATATTGAGGAAAATATGATCACGTAATCAAATGCACGAAAATATTTTTCATAAAAAAATGTCAATCAAATAGTACAAAAGTAAAATTTTGAGTGGAAATAATACATTTTTCGTGGAAAAATATTGACAATCAAACGCATCATAATCATATTTTTCATTAGATTCGGCCAATTAGATAGATAGTGTCTTCACAGAAAAATGGTAGCACAGTTCCAAAAACAGTCAACCCAATTAAGAATTCAATTGACCAAACTAATAATAATAATAATAATAATAATAATAATAATAATAATAATAATAATTAAATATTGCAATATGATCAATTTAGAGTTAAGTATTTGAAGATTGAAGCCTCAACAGGATAGACAGCACGATAATAATTTAAAGTTTTAACAACTATAAAATTTGCCATACAAACTTTTTTGGACGTTGCTAGGCGTACATAATGGGATTCATAAGGGTGTCCATTATGGATCCCCTTATGTACAAGGAGAATAATCCAACTTTTTCTGCTACTCCGTTCCACTCATCACAACAACAGTACTATTTATTATACAAAAAGAGAAGAAAAATCAAAGCCACCGCTAAAATATATATGTATCAAAAATCGAAATATGAACAAACAATTATCAATCCATTCATGTCAATTGAAACAATTTATTGAGTTCATTGCTCCTTGAAAAGTGAGTTCCAAGTGCATTGCTTTTTCTGCATGATACCTCATTAAAATTATCCTTCTGAGTACTGTCCATTCTTGGATTCACAGGTTCTGATGGAATCATCCCTTGCTTTTTCATGTAGTCCCATTTATCTTGAAAAAGGTAAAAAACTGCCATAAAAGAAACTTGAGCTGTGAAAATTATGCTCCAAAGACTTGTACCCTTTGATGTTCTCTTGTGGTATGCCTGTAATCCTGTGTACACATTTATAATTCCCACCAAACATATTGTTGTTCCTAGCATCCAGTGCAAGAAGTACCATAAACTTCTACGTCTTGTTCCCCTGCACAAAGGAAAATTTTCGATTTTTTCATATTCAAATTTCGAACTAAATGGAAGCGTCAACGCGTGTAAAATTGGATGCGCAGGGTTTTTTTTTTTTTTTTTTTTAATGGAAATGTGTACCTCTTAGGTCTTCTGAATCCAATCAAAACTTGAACATATGTTGCACCATAAAGTGCTAATCCTATTCTTTGATGACTGTTATCAAATGTGTTCTCAAATTTTCTTATTGAAAGAACTGCTCCAACTGTAGCAAGTAGTACTGATAGCACCTTCAAATTACAAACAAAAATGAGTATACGGATTTCAAGATTGATTTGCTCAAACGAGCCACCATCTTCTCACATCGAATAAAGATGAAAATATATATCAATTTATAAAGGATTTAGACTAGCCCTCTTAATAAGGTTGACCTTTTAAGATCGAATCTCAAGCTTTAAGAAAAAGAAACCGAAGTTTGTTTAATACAATTTAAATTCGGGTGTCGCCTGATCGACAATAAAATCGAAATAAAATCCGTAAGAATAATATTGTTGTTCCTTTTCTTTTCTTCCCATGACTTCATAGTAATCATGTTCAAAATGTATTTGTTCTACTCCTACCTACTTGTGGGCTCAGTTTTGTTTAATTTTGAACCTTAATTCCATCACATTACTAAAGTGCATCATGATTGTGCAGCAGTAAAAGTTGAAAATGTTCAATTGTAACACCATATGACTATAGAGGAACACTATGATTTGATCACATCAAGTCAAAAGAATTATTTTTTATTATTTTGGCTGTACTACATGTATATAATGATTATAATAGGTTCAGAATTTCTTCGTCCAAAAAAAAGCAAAAACAAAAAGTCACACTCTTTTCGACAGTCATCTGTACGTAACTATTATGTAACTCCATTACGGCATTATTCTTATTGTTATGTATTTACTGCTGAGAACGAAAAAACCAGAAAGATGATTTACCTGCAGAATTGCGTGAACGTAGAACAATTTTTTTCGCCACGTCTGGTGGCATTCCTCTGTACTGGACATTCTGATTGTTAGTACTCCAAGAGGCATTAAGAATCCCATTGAAGCCCATAAAAGAACTCCGTGGAGTGTAATATCCAATGTCTTTCGATAATTTACCTGCACAAATTGTTACAGATTAAGCCCAAAATCCTACTTCCGAGAGTAATAATAATCAGAAAAGTGCGTGCAGATATATAGTGATTCATCCTCTCAATTCTGAGAGCTGCGTCTACTTGCCAGCAATCAAGAAGAAGAATAAAAGTTTTTCCATATACCTTTTCTCATACAGAAACGACCCCAGAATTTAAAATGAAGTAAAATTCTGAATCAATTATCCTAAACCTGAATAAAAAAGATAAAATTATCTTACATTTTTACTGCTGTTGCGAAGACTGCCAGATTTCTTCTGTTCATCAGATGAGCCTTCAGCAAAATGTACAAGAAAGAGGAGCACAACACTAAAATAAATACTAAAAGAGAAGATTTTCTGAATTATATGCATCATTCAGTATTTACTATCCAAGAAAATCTTCAAAAATCTGAACAAAAACAGGCCACAGATTAATGGATACGTAATGTTGTTCTTATTGGAAGAGAAGTTGAAAAACCAGTGGGCGTTCTTTAGTGTATCTGAGCATGCAATGATCTCTCTTCTTTACTTTCTCTCTTTTGCTTTTCAAGATTGTCTACTTTATAATATCCATTGCTTTATACTGTCTTTCTCCAAACTAGAAAATCAATTAACATCTTTAGTCTGTGTGGTAATTATAGCTTTGGGTTTTGATTAGACAGAAGCCACTTTGATTATCTTAATTACCATTTCTGTTCATATTTTTGAATAAAGAAGTTTGTATTTTAGCTAAGTAGTAATTACGTTTAATCTTGTAATTTAAAAATAAAAAATAAAAAATGCAAGCACTTGAATGATTTATAAAATTAGCAGCTTGTATGAGAATTTGTTAGTCAATCTACACATTTGGGACATGCTTGCTTGTCATCTGTTTGTGACAATTATGAACAGTGTGAAGAAGCATAATTAAGTGCAACCATAAGATTAATTATTTCCTCTGCCCCTATCGTACTCCAACTTGATAGTTTCCACCGCCTGTCTAAGGTTGAACTCTGGAATTTGACGACGAACTTAAAAAGCCACCTATAGATGCAGATTAATATAAAAAATTATCCTATGACTTCTATAATTATACCAACTTAATTCTAAAAAATTGCTATTGCATTTTAGTATGAATACATGAGGATTTGAAATCTTAATTTTACACTACAAGAGCAATAAAATCATAATAAAGAAAAAAGACAAGAGAATGCACAAGGTTTATTATAGATATTTGCTTCGATATGAGACTATTTCCCCTTTCACGGTTGCATTGATTCATTATGATGAAAAGAAAACTACGAGAGAGTAATCGAACACTCTATTTTCTCTAAAGTCTGTCCTTTCTACATAATCCCTAATAATGGCTCCCCATTTACAAGAAAAAAAGTAGGGGAAAATATAAATTACAAGTGTGAAATTTCTATATACTTAATTAGATTTTGACCACGACATAACGACGATAATTAAACTCTACAACTTAATGTAAGAAGTTCTTTTTGCCACATTCTCGAACGGGATCCAATTAAAGATTTATTTCAAACATCATAATCTGTAATGCATCATTTATAGCTCTCCCAAGTGTTTTGGATGAATTCTTCACATTCATCATTGCCTTAAATGACTTCATGTATCTAATGAAAGTAAATCCTCTGATAAATTTGATATAATCTTGAATTTCACCATCGCTGAGGATATAAAATACTACAAATTTCTCACCATTGCAGCAACTTAAATTTTATATAAGATAATTTAACATATTATAAAAGACAAGATATTGAAGTTCCTACTTATATTATTTTCAAGAAAGATCGACATTGTACCATATGACTATGAGTCAAACCATCGTTGCTTTCTTTTTGTTATTTTTCACGTCTCTAATTCTTTACATCAAACATATGCAAATCGAATCAAATCGAATCCTGCCACTTCATGCATTACCTTAATCATCAGTTGAAAAATGGGTTTCTCGTGTCATAAAATGAGTTGATCTTAAAGTAAAAAAGATATATTATGTGCAAATTTTGTTTAAATGAGATCATTTCACTTTTTAATCCTCATAATTGACCTCTTAAGTCCAAGAAAAATGATGTGTGACAGCCTAAACAAAAAACTGAAAACACCTCATCCTGGCATATTAAATATTACTGAGCTGTAGCCTCATGGGTATAACCCAATGGTGTAAAGGACAGAAGTGAGGTAATTTCAGTCTTGTCAGCAGTCGTAGTATGAGGGTTCGATTCCTGAGATATGGAATTGGACTTTTCATAAACACCAGTGTACGGGCAAGCTCTTGTTCCCTAACCTATTGGGTCACATCTCGTGGTTTACCTCTCTCACGATACTTCAGGGGTAGAGCGATGGAGTTCTCAAGATTGGGGTTCAACTTTAATTATTACTGAGCTATATATTAAAAAATGATAAAATTTTGCTTTATTTGTTGTAATTATGATGTTGGGTTGTTTTTTCAAGACGAGTCAACAAATAATAATTTTGGGACTATATGATGCGTGAGTTGTCAAACTTCATATCTTGCTTTGATTTGGGTGCCATCATGAACAATTTTATATGGTTCCAATGGAGAATTTCTATTCAACTAAAAAGAAACCCGATTGGGGATTAGGATGAGCATACTAACATTGACTTTGGGCTTTGACTAAATTGATCACAAAAACTCACTATTATACCAACTCTTGTTTACAAGAAATGGAATAAAATTATTTTTTTCAATTTATTATTATTCTTTTTCTTTTTCTTTTATGATTGTGTGAAGGGGAGAAGTTGACGGTGCAAGGAAAAATTTATCCAAAAAAAAAAAATGAATAAAAGGATCTCTACTACACTTTTCCATAGCATAAAATTCATTTCAATCAATCTCATTGTGACGTCCACATTGTTGTGGGAAAAAACAAGTGTGTGTGAGTATGTCTAGTTCAAGTGATAATAGCAAAACCCTACCACGGTAATTGACTTGAGTTTGCCTCCTTTTCAGAGGTTAAGACTAAAATTTAAAAAAAAAAAAAAAATTGCAGGCAAAATATCTTAAGCACAATATGTTAGGTTTGGGGTCTCAAATCTGTTGGCACCCGTTTCTCCACTTCCATGCGGCCACATGGAAGATAACCATGTGATCGCATGATTCACTCTTGTGTGTCACGTGTTTTTGGGCCTTACGCGTTTTCTAACCTAATTTGTTACCTTTTATGACTCTTTTAGGGTTTAACTCGTGGCATATATATGTGCCTCCTCTTTTAGTTTTGTCTAAGCTTTTATTGTTGAGTTGTATGATTCTATCCATATTGTCGTTATAATAAAATGTCGTTCCTCTACTTTACTCTCTTTTGCACTTTACTTTAATCTTGTTTTATATTGTTATGATCTTGTTACATATTTCATACAACGTCATCAATCTCAATTCTTGTGTCGTCTATGGGATCAACACAAGAATAGTGTTCCTATAATAGAATTATTCAAACTCTATAATAACCTCTTTTTGGTACAGATGACATTAAACTCCGACTCGTTAATATGCTTGCCTCTGTCAATAATTATTCGAATATCCAGAATTGACTTCAAAACCATGTTGAATTCAATTGTCAATAGAATAAGCTCTTGTTTGAGCCCCGTTCTTTACATAAGAATACATTTTTAAATAGTATATTGATGAGAAATATGTGGTTTAAAAATAAGAGAAAAGTTTTAGATTTGTGTATAATATTATTTTATTGAAAAATGTGTGGTTAAAATAAGGTCAAAATACTGTTTAAGAATATATATATATATATATATATATATATATATTTTTTTTTTTTTTTTAAAAAAGGGGGCTAAAAAAGGGGGTCAATTTTTTTTCTGTGGTCGTTGCTCTGAGTGCGACGATGACAATAGACAATACATGCTCAAGTCAAAATAGGATTTGGACGTGAAAGACAAATAGACTGAATATTGGTTTTGATACAAATATCACATAACTCGATTTCATATAAACAATGTATATATATATATACATTCATATGTGGACAATGGTGACTGGTAAAGTCTACACCACTCTTTCGAATATCAAGTGTTGTGTTCATTATCACGGCACAATCAATTGGTCTATGCTTAGCTGCTTGAATTGTCATATAGAGTCAATTGCAGTATCCAAGGCTGTAATGTGGTTGGCTTGAATATGACATTGGGTCAATTCGGATCCTGTAAAATGAGTGGCAATTTCTCAACTAATCGTTGTAGGGTATAACTTGTCGAGTGTACGACATGTGAAATAGAGGAGTAATAAAAATTAAAATAAACATTAAAATGGCTTGAAAACCATAATTCAGCGTGAATTCTTATAAAAGTTATCAATTGAATTTTGAAATATAAATTAATTCCATACCCAAACTTTACCAAAGTCATTGGCTCTGGGTTCCGTCCTCCTTTTGAGAGGATAAGACTGAAATTAAAAAAATTAAGGGTCTGTTCGGGGGCGATTTTTCCTCCCAAAAAATTAATTTTTTAACCGTTATTTCACTATCCCAGCCGTCATATTTAACTTTTTCTCTCATAAGTGGACCTTACTTTTCCCCTAACGATCAAAAATCAATTATCAAAATCACTCCCAAGCAGGCCCTAAAGAGTTTGTGCATAAACTCAGGTAGAAAGAAAGAGAACATAATTGCTTCTACGTCAAAAATTTTTCAGAAAAACAAAAATGGATAAACCATCTCCAGAATACGAATTTTGTTAATCCACACGTTTCGTCCTTTGGCGAGAGACAATATCAGTGTTTTTTGAAATAATGGAGTCGAATTTATGATGTATAATTTTAATGATTGTAGTTCTTGGGGTTGGAATCATACAGAGATATGGAACAAGATTATGTGTACGGATTCGTTTGATTGTAAATGTGGAATTTGAATGGAAAGAAAATGAATTAAAAAAAAATTGAATTGCCTAAAAATTATTTTTCTAGTAATTGTAAATTATTGTTTGATTGGTATAATTTTCCACATGTAAAATTTTGAAATAAAATTGTATTTTTGTATTTATTTGACTTTGTTTTACATGAAAATTGTCAGTTAAAGGGCTAAAATTTACTAGTATTGGGAATGAAATTTATTTTAATTGTCCAAAGAAAAAAAAATCAAAAAAATCGATAATTTTTGTTTGACTTTGTTTTATATGAAAATTGTCCACTAAAATGAAAGAATCTGTTATAATTGTTAATAAAACTTGTTTCCATTGCTAAAAAATAAAAAAAAATAAAAAGTCAACCTAGAAAATTAAAAACCACCTAATACGTGAGAAAATGAATTCCTCCATTTCGTGGAAAAGGTACACGTGTGGCCGAAAGTTGGAATTTCAATTCCCTAGAAAATTGATGACATCAAAAATGTAAAAACTTTTAAAAGAGAAAATCTTATCCAATTTCCATAGAAAAGTTGCCATATCAAACGTGGCCTAAATGTTAATGATTTAGAGTTTCAAGCAAGCAAACTAGCTTCTTACAACCAAGTTGCATACACGCAGGCTTGAAACAAGTAAAATACAGATAAGCCATCAAACACAATCAATTTATGGGAAGGCAGAATTTATAAACAAATTTGAGAGATCATCCTCGGAGTACGAACGAACACTCCCGAGTTGGGACGACAGCAAAAAATGAACAAGAAAAGCAGGCAGTAGACATTCATTACAAGGTACGCATGGAACAGCTAGTAACACAGTGAACAAGGAATCCGATGTCTCAAAATGTAGATAAAATAAGACTTCCATGGATGATAGATATAAAAGGCATGAAAGGAACGACATAAAGTAGAAAGCAGTCTATAGACCAAAACGTTGACATACAACATTTTGATAACCGTCTATTGTGACAAGTCTAATACCCTATGTAATTAAAATGAAAATATCCGTCAAGCACCTGAGAAGGACTCACTTCTCACCCAAAATTAAAGCAACAAAATTGCAGAAAATAGGCCATTCTTCCCTCCAAGCAAATGACCAACATGTTTACATAAACAGGTTAGGTCTAGTAGCCTTGTATGTAGTCTTGAGCTTCCTGGTTGGTGGCCTCACTTTCCTGAACACCAAGGGGAACTTGATCTTCGAGTTGTGGAACTGCTTGGTACTCTCCCTCTTGCAAAGTTTAGCTGGGATTGTTGCTGTCTTGATAATTTGAATGCAGTGGTGGCGAACTCTATGACGGGAAGCCATCTCAGTATACATTTGTTCAACAGCACCATTCAAGGTAGTATCACGGTACTCTTTGTACATGTTGTGATAGCCAGTTCTACTCTGGTAACGGAGCCATATACCATAGTTCTTGATGGTAGTTGGGTTTTTCTCAAATATCTATGAACAGGAAAATAATAAATCAGATACAAGTGTAAGGCCAAGCCATAAGACATTAGAAAAAGTGGAACAAACACTAAACCTCAATAGCATAGAGTTGCATTGGATAGGGCTTAATATATCTATTGAAACAGTATACTAGATTGTACAATATCCATCAACTATTAACAATCATCAGTTCTAACACAGGCATCAATGATGGATTATCACGAAAATGACCAAAGAACTAGTTGCAGCAACATGTTTGAGACAGAGATGCAAACTCGTGGGTGAGTTCTTCACAAGTGCCTTCTCAGAGCAGTAAACGGCCAAGATTAAAAGTGTGCACTTCCTAATCTTATGGATGAGAACACCTTTTGAACTATAATTTCAATTACAGCTTATTTAAAAAACTACTTTGACAACCTTTCATTCATACTCCTACCCCATCTTCACCCCGCCCTCCATCGCTGCTTCCCCCGACCCCTCCCGTTTCACTGCTCAAGTTTGACCTTTTCCCCACTAAATGCAGAAAAAAAAAAAATCACACTCCAAATAGAGGGGTTGAGATAAATACAGGGAAAGGGAAAGGGAAAGGAGCAGGTATAAAACAGGGGAAGGAATGGGAAGCAGGCAGGGCAGACAGATGGGTGGTAGGGATATAAGAACGTAGAGGTGGAAAAAGTCAAAAAGGGATTTGAGATTATCATATAGCATATAGAAAAATAGGCCATTTCACATAAAGTTAGAAAGTTAGGCATTTTCCACTTCCTTTGCAACTTGTTCCTTGAACAATTTCAGCATCATAAACTTGAATAGGATACAAGTTCCTACCACGTCTACAGGTAATTGTCACTTGAAGATGTGAAACCAAAATCACTAGAGCAACCTATAAACAGGTCTACAGTTCAAAACATTAAAATAAAATGAATTGCCGTGCAAGTTTACGAAGGATTAAGATATATAGCAAGTGTTGGTAGACAGACATAAAAAAAATTTCAGTAACTACTTCCCGCTATCCCAGAGCGGAAAAGAAACATTCAATCATTTCATGCAGAGAATTGGTAACATTGTTTTGCATCCATATTCAATTAGCCATGACATTGCATACTTTGATCATATGAAAACAGAAGAAAAAGAAACATCATAATATAAGCCATAATTGAAAATTGAAAAGAACAAAAAGCATTTTCAATATTATCTTTGAAGTGTTCCAAATGTTCTACCTCTGCAAAGCAAAACGTGTTACGAGAAAGCAACCAAGCAGGATAAAAGAAAAAGAAAAAATGCATAAGCACCAAAGGATCGTGAAATTAGCTAAACCTGCATTATGGACTCAAATATATTGCTTTGGATTAAAACATAACCATTTTTCCTAAAGGTAGACTCTCAAAATAGTGTAAGGCGTCTGATATTTACATACCTCGTTGATTGCAAGCATCTGGCCATTGCTCTTCTTCACCTTCTTAAGCTTCCTCAGGAAATACCTTCATTAACGAAAATCAACCCAAAAAGATAATGAAATGTGACATCTCAAGCCCTAAAATTAAACAAATCAAAAACAAGAGCGCCTATGAATGTGAAGCAGAGGGCATAGATCGTACCAAAACTTGGACTTGGCACGAACCTCATTTGTGGCCCATAGCTTCATTCGGTAGATCTTAGGGTGCTCGTCCGTTGCCGTCGGCAGAGCTCTCCCAACGACCTGGTACTGATGAAACTACACAAAGTGCAACACACACGAAACCGATCAATATCGTTAATCAGCATTTCAAAGCCAATTTCTTCAATCTAACGCAGACTTATAAACACATAAGCATAAAACCAATAATAAACATTTCAAATCCAATTTCTTCAGTCAAACACAGACTAATAAACACAAGCATATAATTAAGAGCAAACCTTGTAAGTGACCATCTCCGACGAGTCCTGGTTCTCTCGATCTCCCTCTCTCTCACTTCGACGGGGATGTTCTGTGTGTGAGAGGCGTAGCAAACGCTGTTGTTGTATGATTTATATATGAGACGAGGCCGAGTAAAACTAGAAGCCCTAGTTCTGTAAATGGGCCTTTTAACGGCTGTTTGGAAACTGGAGTTTTCTTCTTCCTTATAGGGACCGGATGGGTTTATCCGGACCGGTTAAGAACCATGTTTTTGTGTGAGTATTATTTATGTCTCATATGGGTGAATGCAGTTCGATTTTTGGACGGTTTAAGACAAGTTTTCAAATCAAATCATTTGGAGTAGTTTGAATTTTTTTCAAACCAAACAAAACCACATCAATTTATAAATCAAACCAATTCAAACCATTTTTTCGGTTTATTTTGGTTTAAAACTACAGTTTAAAAGGGATCAGACGATTGTATAAAGAACAGACCTTTTGAGACAAAGTTTCAAAAAGGGGTGTTTTATTGGCGATGATTTACAATTGAAAATAAACAGAATACCTTCAAGGGGTGCAAACACACGAGTATTAAAAGAAGTGTTTAAATTTAAGTTAAGAAATTAAAATTACATATTCTCTGTTTGAGAGTATTTGATTACGAGGTCTTCTATTCTATATCTTCTCTTCCTTTTTATATTCCCTTGATGACTTCCTCTTGACAAACTGTTTGGAAACTGTTTGATTGTTTTGTAACTACTCACTTTCTTTATGGTGGCTATCTTATCGTGGAACTGTCGTCTCTAACTACTGTCATTACTCTTTATCGTTTAACCGCCTTCAACTGGCTCCTTGAATCGTGGAATGTGATAAGATTACTCAATAACTGCTATTCTGGACAACCATAATATTTTATGTTTGCTAAGACCATGGGCGATTCGAAGGTTTGGACGAGAACGGGGTCATCGCTCTGGGCGACCATAAGGCACTCCATTCGCTCAGATTCTGGGCATCTTGCAACATTGGGCGATGGTGTCACTATGTTCGTGGGCTTCCACTGTATTTATCAATAATCCTGTTTGGACCTTTATTCTAGACTCCCCAATTGAGCTTCACTTTTTGAGATGCACTTTTAGTGTGTCAACAATATCGAATAAGTTAAATCGAAAATATTAGTCTAAAATTTCATGTTAAAACATAAGTTGTATTATTAAAAAAATTATTAAAGAAAAATTATATAATTATAATCATTATAATGCAACAATATGATATAAATATTTTAAACTCTTTATCCATACTAATGGCATCCATTTACAATTGTAATACACGATTCATTCTCTTCATAAATATAAAAATACAGTACATGAATTCATTGATTATAGTTAAATAATATAAAATAACTAATAAAAGAAAATGAATAAAAGAATAAAATACAATAATACTTAACTACTGTGGTTTTTTGTGTATCATTCAATACTTCCATTCCATCCAAATATTAGCGAATTACTTTAAGAAAGTCCGATAATTGTTAGAACAAAACAACATAACTATCAATAAAAACATAGAAAAAGATTACCAAAAACTAAAAGAATTTGGATAATCTGACTTGAATTTAAATAAAATTTAAGAAAATTATTAGTAGAAGGAAATGAAATATGCAAGTTTGAATTAAAAATTTAGATTTAATTGTCTGCTCAATTATAATGGAGAATCGATGAATATGGTTTAGCAGCAATTATTCAACGCTTTACCCAATTTAATGATTTTATATTTATAATTTTGCTGACTAATGGGTATTTGGATATAATTTAATTAATTAATTGAGATGTAAACTTGTCGAATTGAGTTCAATTGAATTATGTCTAATATGGATGTATCTTGTTAACTGAAATGTATTAAATTTTAATTGGGTTAATAAAATTTAGACTAATTTATTTTCAAATTTTTTTGGTAAACGGTTTGGAAATTTGAAACGGTTTGCAAATATTGAAACCTAAACCAATACACTTCGAAGCGGTTTGGTTTGATTTAAAACCTAAATGTTGACAGATCCACATAGAATCAAACGAACGGTTTCAGAAAAACAATTTCGATTTGATTTTGCGGTTTGGTGGTTTCATTGTTCAGCCCTGATCCCCATTTGGTTGCATTTTTTAGAATTCATTTTTTGGGCGAAAAAAATCATTTTAAGTTACATATTTTATGAGATTCACAATTTTTCAATCACACATTTTTTTTTTTATCAAAATTTACAAATAATTTGCTTTTAATCTATAAGAAACATGGACTATATCAATTCATAAATTAAGTGAAAAATATTTATGTCATACCCATAAATGATCTATTATTCATTTTTTTCAAAACTCATTTTAAATCACACATTTCGTGGGATTCATAATTTTTCAATCATATATTTCATTAACTTTTATCGAAATCTACTAATAATCTAATTTTAATCTAAAACCAAACAGAAACCATATCAATTTTTAAATATAAGTGAAAAACATATACTTCAAACCCATAAATGATCTAATGACTACACCCATAGGTTTGTAGACTTAAGATTTAGGTGGTACTTGAAAAAAATTTGAATAAACATTTTAACAAATTTTGATAAAAGTTGACGAAGTGTGACGTTGAAAAAATGATAAAAGTTAGTCGAAGTTGAAGTTTCATGCGTCAAAAAGTTAATTAAGGGCCTGTTTGAGCCACATTATTTCAAAAAAATATATTTTTAAACAGTGATTTGACATCATTTCAACCACACGTTTTTCAATAAAATAATATACACACAGATCAAAAACTTTTTCTTATTTTTTAACCACACATTTTCCATCAATACATTATTCAAGAATGCATTATTATCAAAATAATGTGGCTCAAACACCCCCTAAATTTCAAAAAATATATATATAATAAAATAGACACTTTTAATGTCTTAAATAAATGTGGAAACGCACTTTTGAATAATAATAAAATGGATAATAATACTAATTTTAAATATATGAATACTATCGTGCATATGAGATTTTGGGTACTAAGTTCAGAGCCACTTAATTAGCTTCACTTGCAGAAACTTGATAAAATGATGTACACTCTATGTGTACTATGTGTCACAAAACTTGATAAAAAGATAAAATGATTTTGGGTACTATGTGTCACAAAACAAACTCTCTCGTCTTCGACTTGCACGCACCGATTTAAAGTCATTCGCATCAATGCCACTAATGAGTATGGGAATGCACATTTGAAATTCAAATGAATAGGAAATGATTAGCCTTTCCCACGTTTGCGTACTTTTCGAAAGAAACTAGAAACTGAATTATAGATGTCCCACTATATGTGCAATAGAAATAGCTTGTCATGTTGTTGTGGAATCAATTAAAATATGAATAGTTCATTACAATTGTGTATCTAAAAACTTTCGACGACTTCTTCGTGATAATTGTCCTCAAATCAATAAGATGGTGGAATTGGATCTTCATAATTCTCTTCTTGTAAGAAGGAGACATTATCAATTCCTCCACATTTTGTCCATGCTTACCCGACCTTCTTCAGTGCCGCCCTGCTTAACTTCGGCACAATGTCACAACAATTATCTATGTCTAGCAAAGCATGGACAAGCGATTGTTGTATGGTTTGTAAACACTTCTTGTTTTTCTGGGGAAAAAAGGGTAAGGAAAATTAACATCATCGTGTAAGACCCATAATTTGTCCCTCCTAATGCTTCGTGCCTAGCCCTTATAAAACTTGTATATTGACTCTTAGTTGTTCTAGCGAGCTTAACCGAAGATTTTGCCTAGATGTTCAACTTTTTCTTAAGAATAAAAAGAGTCTTTACAAAAGGAAACGTACATGAAAGCTTGACCTAAAGTGATTGTAAATGTTATGTCCTAAGTTCAATCGATTTTGGACATAAATACTTTTAATACATAATTGATGTATTTATGAGAGATTTATTAATTAATTGAATTAAAAATTAAATAATAGATTCCATGGAATTAAATGTTGCTAACTTATTAATCACAAAGAGTTATGATTGTGAGATATAAATTGCATATGGTTGAATTTTAAATCATTCGAGATCATAAGTAATAATAAGATACGTATATCGTTATTATGGATAGACCATCACATGTGGTATTTCTTATTTGTGAAGTAAGTAGTTGATCTCATAAGTTAAAGTGTGGCGACACTTAAATAAACACGTGAATATTTTGTTATAAAACAAAATATTGGACACTAGTTGGAGAGATTCCACATGGATAACTATCTGAATGTATGTGATTAATTTCTAACGTTTGGTAGTGGAATTGGTCATTTGACTTGTGGTCATCACGGTGTCTTATATGAGACATTCATGCTTTTTGATGTTGGATGTTGCTGTATCAAGAGTCGCTAATACAATGTCATTCAAGTATGTCAAGAATTATATACAGGGTTCTAAATGATCGATAGAAGATTCTTCATTCTTAGATAGTGAGAGATTATGATCTACATTTCATTCAATTAAATTAATAACAAAATTCTTGGACAATATGTACTCATAAGTCGAAAAGAGTTTTCGACTATAGTAGGATGAAAAATAGGATCCATAATCAAGATTGATATACTTTATATCTCGTAATTGATCGAATGATATTGACAAAGAGATTATAGTTTCACGATAAATGAGCAAGTTCATTTTTGTCATATCATATGATATTTTTCGTTACATGTGTTGTCCTGACACATAATATTAAATGTCAATATGTAACGACGAACGTGAAAATAGTTAATCTAGATGATTTAATGATAAATTAAACAGATGTTTTAATTTATCTTATTTTTATTATATCAAAATAATAATTCACGTCGTTAAATATCTTAATCGAAAACTTAATAGGTTACACACAAAAGGAGAACTAGAAAAATGAAATATACTAATTAATTAATTGACAAGTGTTAGACAATTAATTAATTGAATTATTTACTAATGGGTCAAATTAATTAATTTATGGATAATGTTTGATTAATTAGAATTTGAAAAATCACAAGACAATAAATTATCTTACTAGCACAAGAAAAAGGAAACACTAATTCTCCTATTCTTATTCACTGTGTGGATTTTTATTGAAGGCTAAATAATTGGACAGTTGTGGGTGTTCAAGATAAGTAAAGGAGTTTTCAT